CTAAATAAAGAGATTGATTGATTGATTTAAAGTAAGTCACTGCACTTAAGGGAAATTGATGGCGTATATCGCTTTACTGTCTGAGAGCTCCATAATGTTCACTGCAAAGTGTTAAACTATCAATAAAATAAACAGCAGTGAGACAAATAGATCAATGTATCCTCTTTTCTCTAAATTTCTCTCCAGATTTGTTTTCCCCAGAAACAGATTTTATCTAAATATTTCACAACAGTGAGACCATCAGGGAAGCTAATAACTCTTTAAGTGTTATGTTTGTGTCTCACCTCAAGGGTCTGCATCAGCGTCGGTTTGATGGCGTCTTTCATCAACACAGCCAGAGCTCCACTCACACCCTGTCAGRAGGAAAGTAAACTGAGGACCGTCGCTGCAAGACGTGATTATAACTAAAAGTGTTTTTAAACTGTTTTTTTTTTAAATGTGCCTTTAGTCGTACACACCAGGTCCTCTGCTGTGACGGGTTCCCCGGAGCGGCTGGTTCCCACCACCATGCGCGCCAGCCTGTTCTTCATGTCCTTCAGGCTGTCGGACAGAGCCARGATAGCCATGATCTCACTGGCCACAGCGATGTCAAAGCCAGTCTAAAAAGTGTGAGACAAAAACCAATATTAATATAAAACTGACGGCAACATGTACTGTGAGATCACAGAACCACACCGTGGGAGCCAGACTACAAACTTCCCTACAGTCACCTGGTTCAACAGAGGCAAAACAAGTTTTATGAATGTGGCCTAATTTCAGAGTCATGATCTAATAAGAGAAATGCAACACTGATCACATATAACTCATTTAGATGCAACTTTTTTATTGATTTATGTCAAACTAACAAGATTTTAAAAAATAAGACAACTTAAATCGAATGAGGGTCAATTAAATATGGAAGCAGGGGACAGTGTGGAAAAGTAAAAAGGTATTTTCTCTTTCACCCTCTCTCTCTCTCACACAGGGGAGAGGAAAAACATAAACCATATCAATCCACCGAGGACTTTTAAGATTTCTATTCCCACTCCCAGTCACAACACCCCGAGGGGCTATAGGGTATCCAACGCAGGAGGAAGGTGCAGGAATGAAAGTGAAACGGGCTGTAAATATAAGCATATGCTGACGCAGCTTAGGGGCTATTCCAGGTGTGTGTGTGTGTATGGGTGGGTCATTTCCCCTTCTTATCTAAACATTTGCTTTCACTTAAAGCTGCTGGCTTCCCGTTGACCCGAACTGTTTACGACTGAATTTCATTTAGCTGTCATTACTACAGATCTGTGGTTAAAATATCTCTGTGCAGAATCAGGGTGTTTTTGGACATATGAGAACACATTTAGTTCAAATAAACTTTACCAAACAATGCAAACATGTAAGTCTTTTAAAAATATATATCTAAAAGTTAAACCTTATGGAGACAATTTAGAATAGATGCCTTAATCCAAAACTAAAAAGCTTTCATTTCAGATGTTTTATGATTGTTATCAGTGGTGGGCACCAGCCCGCTAAAGTGCAAATCTGATAATCGTGGACCTAAATTTTTCATTTGCGCTTTAGCGGTCTTACTAATTTTTTTAATTCATAAGCGGATTTGCGCTTTCTAAAACTAAAATGCAGTACAGTTAATAACTAATTATCTACCAGTCATATTATCTTGAACAGCGGAAGGTAATGACTGTCAATGAATCACAACACACATGGTCTATCCAACAGCACCCCTCCCAGATAAACACACTTATTGGAAAGGTGTACATCTTTGCTGACTGTTGCTTTGGGTCACAGTTCATTTCCCACAATGCTTTGTGTCTGCTTACGTAGCAGGAAGTCAGTGTTTAGAACTCCCTGTCCCAGATAAAACAGTTAACGTTTGTAATCCATACTAAAATTTTGTATGTATTGATTTATTTTACTTTTCAATCAGAGCTCCTTTAAAAAAAAAAAGTTTAAACGCTGGAGCTCAATACTTGACGTAACTGGTCGAAGCAATCAACCAACAAGGTTAGGGACGCGGAAATTTAAAGATGCTATGCTGATGAAGACTGACATCTAGTGGTCAACTGGAGCAACTACATGGAAAACTTTAA